TGCATCCTTTAACAAATCAATATTAGTATCTTTTGGCATTCCTTATTTTTTTTTGTAAAGTTGCAATTTTGTTGTGTTGCATAAAGCAAAAGCATTTATGTATATGTACGTTTTAAGAGAACGTCACACTAGGGTGCACAAGAATCAAATATATATAATTAGGTTCTTATTATAATCATTTTTTGCGGATTTTTTAACGGTTAATTTCATCATTCGAAGAATTCAATTATTGATGCCAAGAATTTTTTGATATTAACGTTCTTAGTATTTTCTATTAGTTTACTATGTGATTTTAATAGCCGATCAACAATATGAACGCGTTTTTTTTATAGTTTAATCGCTATTTGGCATTTCGTAAAATATGTTTTAATTATTTGTGATTTCAAACTTATTTTATAATAGCTTATTGAGTTTTAATTAATAATTTAAACTTTTTATTTAATAAAAATTATTGTATTTGAATATTTCGATAAAAGTTCTAATAATCACATCAGGCGAACGACCCAGCAAAAAAAAAAAATCTAATAAGGGATTCATCGCTTTAGCGATGCAAAAAAAAATAATAAATATAAAAAATTTTTTTTATTTCTTATAAAATAAATTCATTTTCATTAAGTCAACATTGCGACGCCATAAATGAAGTAATTATTTACCATTTTCTCATCGATTCATTAGTTAGTTATTAACAATTCCAATTTATTCATTTTATAGAAATTAGATATTTAATAATTATTTTTATTTCTTGAAAGAATTGTAAATCTCGTTTTGAATTTAGTATTCGTGTTTTTTTTAATTTTTTTTAAATTAATTAATTAATCAATTCAAAAACTTTTAACCTCAAAAAAGGGACTTGGCCAAAATTCCGCTTCTATATTGCATATCAGTACATTTCGCAAAATATTATTTTTTATCAGTACGAGAAAATATAGATATTGTTAATCAGATTTAGTGTCGTACGTATCGTACAGATACCTCATAACAAGCCACCAACATATTTATATTAGTTTATTCCTTAAAGCATTACTCATTTAAACTTTAACCTCTCACTTAATTTATTCAGTAATAATAGATACCAGTGTTTATATCCCTTAACTTTCTAATAATGCAGTATACGAGACCTCTGCACGTTCTCGTCGAAGTTACGAAGCTTCTGTTCTAACCGGCTCCTCAATTACTTCCTCTTCTCTAAGCCCTCACCGAGTTCAGTAACTTCTTTATCTGATTTAACTGTAAATGAGTTGGTATTTCAGGAGTGTATTGAAGTTATCGATGTTAATGTGGTGTGGAAGAAATCATCAATAGCAAAGCCGATGCAAGAGAGAAAAAATGGTGGATCGATGAAAATTATAAAATTATTGACGAAAATAGGTATGTTCATAGTCATAATTCTTAAAGTTCATGCTAAAACTTGATCTATTTTATTAGACTCCCTATGATTCTTGTTAAAGTGTAAGTTATAAAGAGTTCGAAAAAAAGGTGAGATCGCGAACGCATCAAAGTACTGGGAGTTTCAAGACGGAATTGTAGTCATAATCGAGTTGCCAAATCGTGACCACGAATTGCACATTCTGAATTCACTATACAATTTTCACTTCAGGATCCTCATAGAACAGATAATGCTTTCCGGATGTACTTCAATGTTTGTTTGTGAATGTATTTTATTATATTAAACCTAACCATTTTGTATTCAGCTTGTCATGACTACTCCAGGACGTATTTATATATATAATATTTAGTATACACCGGTAGATTTTCTTAACACTTACTCCACTGGTTATATTTTAAAAAGTAAATTTATTTTAAAAAACTTGCTTATTTAATTATGAGTTTATTAACATACTTAACTGTACTATGAATATGTATCTTTAAAATTCTGACGGAATTTAGTGTTGAAACGTTAAATCTTATAGCTTTTTATTAATTAAAAAAATAATCTATATACACATTAAAAACAAAATTTTGTGTTATTTAAAGTTCTTGTAGTGATGTATTTCTTTATTGTAAATATAGGAAACATACTTGGTTTCTTATTCTTCATTCCGCTTGTAATTCTTGCACAATATCAAAATGCTTTTAGTTTTATTGTAATGTAAATTGCTTTTTCTACAAGACAATGTGATAAAAATTAATTTTGTAAGATAACATTAAAGGCATGAAGTAGCTTGATAGAAAAGAATAATAATTCCACCGGTGTATACGTCATACACAATGAGATAAGCCTGTTATTCCATATGAAGTTACGGATAACTGGGTTTATGCATGGGTTATATAATAATCACATGCGCTTACGCGCATGTGATTATATCTTTATCCCGTAGTTATCCTTCATATAATATGGAATAACAAGAATTTATTTTATCCCTGGTATTCGTTCTGACTATCAAACACCCAATAAGTCAATACAGGTTATTAATTAGTAGTGGTGGGGAGCGACAAAGAACTTAGAACACTTCTACCTTCCCTTCACTATTATTCTCAGAGCTAGATGAAACCTGCTTGCTGTGTCGTGCTACATTATTTAAGATTGCCCTGGATGGATGTCTGCAGTTAAACTGCATTCTGTGCAATACCTTGATTGATGTCCTCGTTTTTTTGCCTCGGTAACTGTGATGATTGTATTTACCACTTTATGAACCAGTCAGCTGATACTTTGCCAAATTTGGTATTGATTATAGATTTTCACCTCACCATCAAAATTTTACGAACCATCCGCTCCGTTAATTAAATAAATTTTTTTCATATATTTTGAAATGACTAGTCAATACATGCTTAAATGTCAAATATTTTATATTTAATAAACTTCCTCCTGAGTGATAATCACGAGTGGCGGTTTCACCTAAAAGGAGGGTATTTATTTTTTTTAATGGCGTGTATATTTTAGTTAAATGTTTACATTTTTTTAAAAAAAAACCAAAAACAACCAGCCCGCATACATTTACCAAAGTTGACTACGAATATTAATTTTTATACCAACACAAACTCTGTATTATGATTATTTTTATTTTGTGCAGCATAATTCTCACATTTTCTTCCAAATTACAGAAGCATACATTATTATTTTGCTATTAGTCACTATTTTTTTTTTTTTAAAAAAAAAAAAAAGGAATGAACTACTAGATAAATCTTCTTTTTGAAGGTTTCATAGTTGAGCGTAAAAAAATATAAAAATCAAAAAAAAAAATAAAGATGAATCGAAGCTTAACGAATAAAAAAAAATAAAATACTTATATTATTTGTGCCTCAACATAAACATAATTTTTGTATTGATAACTTTTAACTTTTTTTGATCGTTAGTATAATTAGACTTTCATTGTAGGACATTTATAAGTTGGTGAAAGGTGAGTTAATTAGTAAAAAATTTATTATCTTTCTATAATTATATGAAAAATAATATTATCGCGCTCAATTCTTACAGTTTATATTTATAAATGAATTTAAAGGTAGCAGAAGGTTTTTATAATTAATAAAAATGATTGATGCAAAAATTAATTAAGTATTGCCTGTACTAAACGACTCGATCAACAATCCACCATTTTTATCCTTAAATTCGAAAGGACTACTTGCCAAAAAAATTTGTGGTCAATTTAGCCTATGTTGAATATCAACTTTAAGGTTTATTAAAAAAAAAAAAAATAATAATATCGAGTTTTTTACTATTTGAATAAGAGAGCGTATTTTTTCTTTAAAGATTTGTAAGTTATCGAAGTTATCGTATTAAATTAATGAAAAATTTTGGTAATTATTCATAAGAAATATAATAAAATAATATAAACATTATTGAAATCTTGTATAAACTGTGATTTTATAGAGTTTAAATTAAAACAAAAAATTTATACTTTCAAGTCAATTGATTAAAGATCAAAGTATCTGTGATTATTTTTAACCTTTATAAATTATAAAGTATTAAATCATAGACTAATTTTATTATAAAATGGATGACATTTTTTTTTTTAAAAAAAATATATTATTATTTTTAATTTTTTTAAACTAGAAAACAAGATTTTGAATATACAATAATTCTTCTGGTTTGTTTTTTCGGGATTAATATTATTAAGTTTGATTAATATCTGGCTTTTCATTTTCTTAAGGATTGAAAATCGAAATAAAAAATCAAATCAATTTTAGTAGCGCAGTAAATGCGGCATAAATAAAAAACTGAGCTTAAAAATCAATTGCTCGAAAATATATAATAAATAATAAATATTAAGTATTGAAAATTAAACTCGTCGCGCGTACATCCATGTATCAAATGATCAAAAATAATAAAAAATAATAAAAAATTATCTGGCAATTCCGTGGCTCATCAATACTATATTATTAGGACGAAAACAATTATTCCCCTTATACCCATTTAAAAATGCTACAAGTTTATAAAATAAACGTCATCAATTTCATCATCTTGTCTTAATTTGATAATTTCATCCTTAGAACTAACGTAAAACTTTTAATTGAATATTTTGTTTGAAGCATGAATGAACCTTAATGTTTTGTGTTTGTAATATGCATATCTTCGGCATTGCTGTTATAATGAAATTATAATTATCAATAGACGCAATTGCGATCATTGAGTCATATTCACTAAACTTTAATTTGAAATAGAAACCATACGCAGTAAAATACAAACACACATTTTCATTTGGAATCTTCTAACTTGTGACTAGTTAGACTATCACAAATTCTTATGAATACTGTACTCAATTTTAATTACTTAACAAATAAAATTCAAAAATTATTATCAGTTTAAAAAAAAGATGGAAAATTAAAAATAAATCTAGAAATATGATTGGCTTGTAAATTTTATAAGTCGAATATGGTATTTGTAATGTAGCTATTAACGGCTCAAAAGGCATATATTAATTAAATTAAAATTAAATTTATTTTTCAAAAAAGTTTGTTTTACAAAAATGTTGAATCGTATAAAATTTATTATTCAACAAAGATAAAAATAGTTAATAAAAATAAACATATTTTTAGTAAATCCTGAATTCATATACATTACATTAATCCTGTTCTACAAGTGAACGTTTGATTTCGGAGCTTTCATCCATATTCTGAATAATTGGATCTGGATTTTTAATAATGACACTTTGTTTATTACGATAAAGCTTATTAAGCTTTGCGAATTTTGCATTAAAACCTTCAAGATCTTCAAATGCTATTTCAAGGTTATGGGCAATCTTAGTGCATAATACAAGTTTAGGATGTGAAAAGTAGTTGCGAATATTGTTGAACGTATTGAATGGTTTATAACACAATAGTAATACGAAATCCACTCATTTCTTCCTCAAAAAACCATTTATTATAATGCTTTCCTGGACTAAAACTTGTTCTATGGATTCCACTTTTGTCAAGTTTACTTGCGGTATATCGATGCGACCACGCATCTCCAGTAATGCCACAACCATAATGATCAACATCCCATTCGTTCATTGCATATTTAGTATTGTTTACATATCTTACACCGCCTTTTCCTTGAGCTGCGAACTTGGAGGAAGTCCCAACATCTAAACCAAGTTGCAGTTCACCGGCTATTTCACGACCTGCTGTATGTTCAATATTTCTATTTGATCTCTGTGGATACGCAGTATCAATTGATGTGAACAAGTTATCAACATCCATATTATTATTAAGTATACGTGCAATCGGAGAAAACAAACTTGAATCGAATCAAGAAAATAGCCAGAACTATGTCTCTTGAATTTTGACAAATTAGCACTACTAATCAACTTTCCTGTTTTGCAATCATTTACATTAATTTTAAATTCTAGAATATTAGAAGTAGTAATTTCCGCCCAAATACGAGCAGCCATGGTAAATTGTTGATAATCTGGGCCATCTGTAATCTTTGCTGCAGATGAGATAATGATTCCATTACTCGCATCTTTTCTATTACTATTACTATCGCCATCACCACCATCACCATCATCACCACTATCACCACCGCCATCACCGCCATTTCTATTAATATTGTTATTACTGCTACAGTTGCTATTGTTATTAGTATTGTCTTTACCATCACTATTATTATTTTCATCATTATTATTATTAACATTATTATTATTATTATCATCAGCTGACTTATTATTTAAATTCTGGTCATCATTACTATCTTCACTATCTTCAAGTATCATTACTTGGTATATAGCTTCATACTGTTAGCCGGAAGGCTGGAAATAAAACTTAAACGATATAATTCAGTCCGTCGAATTAATCACGATAACTTTATCACA